TTTGGGTTTTGGGGTTTAGGGTTTAGGGTTTTGGTGCTTAGGGGTTAGGGGTTTAGAGGTTAAGGGTGTAGGGATTCGGGGGTTGGGGGGTTTAGGGTTCAGGGTTTAGGGTTTAGGGTTTAGGGGTTTAGGGTTTTAGGGTTTTAGGGTTTAGTGGTTTAGGGTTTTAGGGTTTTAGGGTTAAGGGTTTAGGGCCCTAAACCCTCTTCCCTCAAGCCTAAACCCTTTTTGGGGGGTTGCAGGGCTCACGGTTTGGGGTTTTGGGGGGTTGTAGGGCCGAAGGTTTGGGGTTTCGGGCTCTAGGTTTAGAGTTTAAGCTCTTGGATTTGGGTATCACGTGTCCCGCGGTTCAGGCTGGTTTCGGGCAACCTTGAGGCTCATATACCCTACCCGTTCTTGAGGGTACCTACTTGTAAATATATAGCAGATCCTATCTAGAGAGCTAGGTACCCTAGACAAGGAGTGGGGTATCAGCCGCTAGGTATGGTTCAGGGTGAACGTTTACAGGAGCTGTTTTGCTCATGAGCGCTTGGAATGGACTTTTGCAATTTTACAGCCCAACACCATCGCGATACAGGACTTGGCCATCTCAATTCAGGGAGTAGAAGACGTCGCAGCATTCTTTCCGTGTTTGTGGTATGTTGTTAGGCTGCTGTTCAGGTTGCAACTCTAAGCCCTTCATGAGAGCTGGCCAGGTGCACGGCGTTAGGTGCTAGACTGTTTGATTTCAGCTTGCGCCTTTACGGTTTACCCTAAACCCTAAACCCAAAAACAAACCCTCAACCGTAAACCCCGAAACCCCCAAACCCTAAACCCTAAAGCCCTAAACCCCCAGGGTGGTTCAGGCTGGAAGTTCGAAGCGCAGGCTGTGGGTTGAGGGCTTAGGTGTTGAGAGGGAGCAGGCTGATGTGCCACAGGAAGGCTGTTCGTGCTCGGGCTTTGTTCAGAAATGCATCGCTGCACAGACAGACAGACCGACAGAGACAGACAGACAGAGAGACACAAACATCCAACAAGGTTTAGGGTTTAGGGTTTGCTAGTTGCACGGAACACTGTGCTGCAAGCTGCGGCCCAGGCGGAACAGAAGCGAAAGCAGGAAGAGGCCCGGCAGAAGCAGGCCTTCCATGGTCCCCCCGAAACCCCAAACCCAAAGACCAACATTGTAAGCCAAAGTTTTTGGGCTCGGGCTGAGGGGCTGACAGCATGGGGTGGAGGAGTCGAGGAGTTCGGGCAGTTGGGGTCTACAGGTTTTGGAATAAGGAACTACTTCATATTCAGAGTCCAAGTAGGTGCAAGGAGGCCCGAATCAAGACCCCAACCCCCCAAGTAGTAGGATGCCGGAAAAGGACCCCTAAACCCTAAACCCTAAACCCCAAGTAGTACGATGCCGGTTATAAGGACCCCTGAAGAAGCTTTCCGCAGGTTTTGTAGCAATCGCCAGTAGTTGTAGGGTAATGTAGTAGTTGGAAGAACTGAGTAGTGATAGCATAGCCTTACCCTAAGGGTCCAAGTACCTAGTAATCATATACTGTCCCAAATATTAGCCGAGATAACAACTATCCGCAAACAAAGTACCTTATTATTGGGTCCTTTGGACCCTTAGGGTTATAGTTGGTCACTTTTCCAAGCATGCGGTACGACCGAGGGCGGGAGACAGAAGCCCATCCCTCAAACGTGAAGCCCTCCTCAGACCCCGGATTGATTTGTTTGTAGGGTCCCTATAAAGCCCATATTAGGACGTATAATAAGAACCTACAAAAAAGTAGGTTGTGGTAGTTTACTTGGAGGGTCGGGGGACTTAGTAAATGGTTATTTTAGAGACTTATAAGTACCATAACACCAATTAGGGTCCCTTTTAGGGTACTTACAAGTCTACTTATTACCTGCTTACTAGGTCTCCCGACCCTCCAAGCAAGGTAGTCTTAGAGCTTGGGTTTTGAGATTTCAGCGTTTCCTTTGTGGCTCTCTTTCTCCGGGTTGCGGGGGTTCAGGGTTTAGGGCCGAGTGTCTGGGCTTAGCGTTTAGGGTTTAGGGCGTTTAGGGGACTGAGCCCAAAAACTCTGCACCCTAGGATTTAATGTAGGGTTTGGGGTTTAGGGTTTAGGGCTTAGGGCCTAGGGCTTAGGGTTTAGGGTTTAGGGCTTAGGGAATGTAGGGGCCTTAATATATCGGGCAGGGTTTCGGGGCATATTGTAGTATAGTTATAATGAGGAGCGGTAAGGAATAGTCTTGTGCTTTATGTTCTTCAGGCTTCGGTCGGTTGGGCTTCCCTGTCTGCACTCCTAGAAAGGAGGTGAAGGCTCGAGAAGCAGAAGAAAGGAACAGACAGGAGCAAGAGAAGAAGGTGGGAATGAGGTTTAGGGAGCTTACCCTAAGGGTCCAGGTGCCTAATAATCATATACTCTCCCCAATATTAACCTAGAGAACTGCTATCCGCAAACAATTTACCTTATTCTTGGGTCCTTTGGACCCTTAGGCTTAGGGTCTAGGGATGTTGGGGGAGAAGGTGGCAACGGAGCTGAGGGATGTTGCCAGGGTTTACGGGTTAGGGTTTAAGGTTTATAAGGTTTA